TCTCTCAGAGGTCATTTTAAATTTTTCATTGGACATAATCATGTTTCCAACTTCACTTTTCCCTGAACATTTCTGGCCAACAAGAACAATCCTGATGTCAGTGACTGGATGGCTCTCACCTGTAAAATAAACAAAAATTACTGTAATGTTCTTTTAATCTTAAGACACTCATATTATATGACTATACCATAAAATGTATAATATTTATTTCTTACCTCCAATCAGCTCATTCAGGACTCTTGTCTTTCTCTCATTGATCGTCTTCAACCTTCTGGCCATCTTGTCTCCAGTCTCTCTCTTGGTTTCTAGCTCTGCTTCTTGGTCCAGCTCCACTTCATAGTAAGGATCTTCATTTCCTGCCCACATCTCTTCAATCTTCTCCAGTAGTTCCTTTACCTGAGTCTTATCACTGTGGTCCTTGTTATTCAGGACATGATACCTGTTCTCACACTTGTTCACTATCCACTGCAGACCTTCATCACTCTCTATACGCTCCTCTACAGTCTTCACTCCTAACCAGTCTCCATAGGTGAACAGAACAAGTGTGTGTTTCCAGATTTCTTCTCTAAACAGACTCATATGTTCCTGAACAGATCTCAGATATGATTCATCAGCGTTGATCATCACAGGAACAACCAGCAGCACAGCATGTGGTCCTGGAGGACACAGATTCACACTGTTCTCTATTTCCAGTTTATCCATCTCACTGGTTTCCTGAAGGATGTTGACATAAAACCATCCAGGAGAATCGACCACTGTGAGCCACCTTCCTTCAACCACACCATGGCTGATTTCACTGTGGGTTGTTCTTCTGTAACCCTTTTTGTCAACATTCAACATTAAACATTTTTCAAGAATGTGGTTCCTTGTTGAGCTTTTACCACCAAATGATCCTCCAATCATCACTATTTTTAAATGGTCTGGAGGAACTTTTCCATCTAATCCAACAAAACAGAAAAAAAAACAACAAATTATTTAGTTTACTCAATTTAAAAATGTGTAACTCAGTTTTACTTACAGCCATGTTGATTACACAGAAAAAAAGAAACAGCTGCAAAGTTTTTAGTGGTTAAAAGAGAATGGTTAAAGTACAAAAAAGGTAAATCTATTGCATGAATTGTGTGATTTAGATAATCTTATGTAACTTTTGTGTCTTATTTTACTTTAGAGGTACCAGTGAAGGGTTAAAAGATTTAGTAAAAGAAAGCAAAAGTGATTGTTTTTACACTTTGTCTAATTTCTCTAGCTCTATGTTGGTTTTCTGTTTCTGAAGCCTTTCCCTGAAAATAATCATAAAATTTAGTTTGTTTTACCAAGAAACAATAAAACTGCTTTGCATCTTAAATCTGATTTAAAGTTTATTTTCTTCAAGTGATTCTCAAACATTTTCCAAAAGATAAACTTCAACAATGTTATGCTGAGTGTAACATGTGATGTTCTCATAGAAGATGTGAATGGTTATTGAATCTAATGCTATTTGCTAATAATAATATTCTAATAATGTCTACTACAGATATAATAAAATGATTAATAACAGTATTATTATTAATCTATCATTACTGATGACTGAATCTAAATTAAGCTACGACATTTAATTTCCCTTTGGGATTAATAAAGTATTCTTGAATTTAAATTCAAAATACTGAACTTGAACATTTACTTCCTGCAACATGAGCACCAGTGGAGGTTCTAGATCAAATTTACCGAGGGCTCCAATGTTTTTGCATGAAGGCACAAGATAAAAGCAATGAAACAAAAAGAAAGCACAAAACTCAATGCTGTATTTTGTTATTATTCATACTAAACAATGTTAATATTAATTTAGCCACAGAACCAAGGAGCCTCTAGTGACTCTGGAGCTACAAGTTGCACATTTCTGATCCAGCAGATGAAAACTCTGATCAATGAAATTTGTCCAAGTGAATAATTGGTTGCATTTCTGTGCCAGTGAATGATATAGATTTAGTTTTATCTCTTCACTCAGAGGCTTCACCTCAGAAGTGAGGGAAAACATTTTTCACAGCTCAACTGAGTGATTTATTGTAAAATATGGTAAAACTCAAAACTGCTGGTATTTCAGCATAAATTAGATGTTTTTGTTTTCACAGTGTAGCTAAGAATGCACACAATAACAAAGTCACAGTACAACTGAGGGGCTCCAACTTAATAGTCTGTATGTAGTTAGTATATATATCTCTATAGAGATAAGTAATTTTAGAAGTTCAATAATTCTTTAAACTACGTACAAAAAAAAAATCTAATCTACATCTACAGCAGGGGTATCAAACTCCAGTCCTCAAGGCCGCTGTCCTGCAGTTTTTAGATGTGCCACAGGTACAAAACACTAGCATGAAATAGTTTTATTACCTCCTTCTTGTGTAGATACATTCTCCAGAGCCTTAATGACCTAATTATTCTATTCAGGTGTGGTGCAACAGAGGCACATCTAAAGGTTGCAGGGCAGTGGCCCTCCAGGACTGGAGTTTGACACCTGTGGTCTACAAGGTAGTAGTTGTACCTTGTACAACTGTAGTTTATTAGAAATAAAGAAACATGTAGCCTACCTTTAATCTGTATCTTCAGTTTGTTTCTTTGTTTCTGGACTTGATCAAACCTTTTTGAGGCTCTTTCAGTCAAATCTCTCATTTCTTTTCTCAGAGTTTCTCCTTGACTTCTGTCAACAGAACAGTGTCTGAATCCATTGTTTGTAATCAGGGTCTCAATTTTCTCTAAAAGCTTCTTGACTTGATCTCTATCTTCTCTGTTACTGATGTTGAGAAAATGTTTTCTGTTTCCACATTGTTGAAGAATCCACTGCAGGGTTGGACTTTTTCTTATTCTGGACTTAATCTCTTCATCACTACATGGAGCGACTGCAGTGAACAACACGATGGTGTGACTGAAAACATCTGCATTGAAAAGCTCCAAGTGTTGCTGTAATGATGATTTCACAAGCTGAGGTAAATATAAACCAACAGGAATGACCAGGAGAAAGACATGAGGTCCTGGGGGACACAGATGGACACTGTTCTGGATTTCTATCTGATCCAGTTTTGGGGTGTTTTCTCTTGGCCATCCCCACCACCATCCTGGAGTATCAACCACTGTGACTCGTCTGCCAAACACTTCCTG